GGGCCAGACTCTTTCCAGTGGTGCCCAGCAACAGGACAAGGGGCAATGGGCACACACTGAAGCAGAGGAAGCTCCAGCTGAACCCGAGGAAGAACTTCTTCACTCTGAGGGTGACGGAGCCCTGGCCCAGGCTGCCCAGGGAGGCTGTGGAGTCTCCTTCTCTGGAGATATTGAAGCCCCGCCTGGACACGGTGCTATGCAGCCTGCTCTGGGTGACCCTGCAGGGGTTGGACTAGATGATCCCCAGAGGTCCCTTCCAACCCCGACCAGTCTGTGATTCTGTGATTCTGTGAAAGATCAGTAAAAAATGTGCACTTCTTTGTTACTTCCCCCATATCTTGGGGGATGCTCGTTTTTCCACCAGGAACTCCAATCTCCACAGCTTCATGCTATATCATTTCATACATACGCACATATTCCAGAGTGACCTTCTAGGTATATTTATCAGCCCTGCTTTTATGGAATATTAATTTCTGGACTCATCTGGCACTCAAAAGCTGAATACTGTTACCTCGGGAGAAAGAAAACCACCCTGGTCCCTGGTTTGTAATATGATGGAGATGGAGCTGAACAATACAAGACTAAGCCTCCTCAGGGCACACAGCCCCGCAAAAATCCAGTTTTCTATAAAAAAAACAACTTCAACTTACGCAACTGCTGTTCAAAACTCATCTGCTGCCACATGGTAAGTCTCAAAGTTGGTTATTTAGAGGAAGGTTGTAAATGTGATTAATTCTCATAGGAACGACTAGCAAAAGTTCACCGAGAGTCCCTATTGCAATGTCACATTTGTCTCCAGGTCAGTCAAGTTGAGTAATTTCTCAGAAGTCCGGAGTGTTTTAAGAAGTTATCCAAACAACCAGACCAGCTCTTGTATTTAACCACTTCCATATAAAAACCCATTAACATTTCTACTGATCAGAATATTAATTACTGCTTCACTCTGCTCCTGCCCTCCTTCTTGCTATTTGTTTTTCCCACAATTCCTTCACTGTTTTTTATGCTGAAGGAAGAATTAACGAAATGAGGTTAGCTTTCAGACTGGGTGCAAGCAATAGCCAAAACAATCTCCTAGAATTAAAATTTGTTTCATAGCTGGAGCAAATCTAGCAGGGAGATGGAGACACGGTGGCAACATCTGAGCACCTAGTAGGTAATTGCATCTTAAAAAAAGTCATCAGTGCTGCTCTGGGCAGAAGCTGTCCCATCTCTCTCAGGGATGACGGAGCACGGATACGCTCTGTGTCACGACCCGCTCTCTGCCAGCAGTGGTTGTCATGACAGAGAGGGGACCGGGGCACGGAGGGAGAGAGGAGGGCGAACATCTGGGGTCAATGAAGTCTGGCTTGAGCCGTGCTGCTCAGCTCGATGCGCCCACTGCTCTGTTACCTTGTCCCTTCTCTTGTCACTCCCAGGGAAAACAGATGTGGAATGTCACGTTATTTAGATTAAAAGCACCACATCTGACACGAGGCCATGGCTAAAGATGACATGACAAATGGGAAGCAGCAAGCTCCCAAGTGTTGCGACGTGTGCACGTTCCTCATTAGCGCTGGCGCGTTTTCTTCGTTTCGGTTCTTGTGACCAAGCTTATAAACAGCCAGACACCTAATCTGCTGATTAACAACTGCTTCGCATATGCTAATGTATAATTGCCGAAGGCCTGAAGAATAGGATTCGCCCCAAGTATTCGCTAATTAGAAGTCAGAACTAATCAGATTCCACAGAAACCTGATGTTCTCCCAGCTGTGCTTGGCCTAACGGGCCACCACCACCTTTTTGCGAATGCTAGATCTGTTTTTGAAGAAGCCGGTGATGTGTCTGAAGCTTCCACCACCATTAATCTGAAGACCTCAGCCTGCTGCGAGTGACACGCGCTGAGGTCTCGACAGGCGGGATGCTGCTGAGAAATCAGACGAGGCAGTAAAACATCCCTTCGTGTAAGAAGCAAATGCAAACCACTTGTGGCTTCACTGTAATGGTTTGTCTCTGGCGTAACGTGGAAACGGGGAAGGCAAATGGTAATTGATGAAAAAACATGACAGAAAAGACACAGGTTCTGGGAATTTGGCATTAGACAAATGTGGTTCAGAGAGCCCACATCGGTGCAGTGTAACCCCGGCTGTTTGGAAACGGGAGTCTCCCCCTTTGATGGGCACGTTGTTTAAATTCCCAGGGACTGGTGTGCATTTCAAGAACCGTTATAAACAACATCCCCTCTTCGGAACCCAAGAAGAGCTGTAGTTACGCTTTTAAACACTCATGTATGAATGGTCTTGTTAGTCATTTTTTCCGTTTCATCTCTAGGCTGCATGTGTTTTTTGCTTGTGAAGCGCTGTTGCCTTGTTTTGTAGCCATCAAGGGCTGATCCAAGAACACCAATTTTTTTTAGAAAGGTTTTCATTCCAGGCTTGTTCCCCTCGGAGAATTTAAACCTCCCCCCGGCTGCCTTCTGCTCCCAGTTAGTGAGGAAAGCAATCCAGAAAGACGCCGGACCAGAAGGTCAACGACTGGCATGACGCAAAGGGATGCCGTTGATCTTCACCTGCGCTGTAAACCTCGCGGTAAAAGTTGGCTACAGCCAACCCTGAACCTGTGCTGAAGGAGGAATCCTTCCCGCAAAATAACTGGATGGGAATGCTTCTTTCAGTCCCACTCCTGCTACCCTGATTATACCTGTCGGAAAGGGGCAGCAGCCAGCCTGATCTGACATCTCGTTATCGAGGCACATGGAATTCTTCAATATGTGAGCACCCTGCATGCCTCCAAATGAAACGTAAAACTGCACAAGTAGAGTAACTTCTAAAAATATGAGGTAAAAGTAACAAAACATCCTTGGCGTTGCCTTTCGTGTTGAAGGTTTCTAAAAACATAGGCTGTAAAGAAAGGAAAGAAGTGAAAGTGGTGCTGGGAGGGACATATTCAAGACCCGCCTGGACAAGGTCCTGTGCAGCCTGCTGTAGGTGACCCTGCTTTGGCAGGAGGGTTGGACTAGATGACCCACAGAGGTCCCTTCCAACCCCTACTATTCTGTGATTCTGTGATTCTGTGATTAGGCAGACGCTGACTGATTTCGTAGCTGAGAAAGGCACAGGTTTTTTTCTGGCAGTTTTGTGGTAAGGCTGTTTAGTGCATTGCAGAGTTCTCCACATGAGTCTGAATAGAGTTTTATAAAAACTACAGCTACAGATCCATTTTTTCCAGAACATCTGGATTGCCGTATGCTGGATTTAGGTCGGAAATATCTACAAGCTATGGAGTACCTTCAGTTGTAAAACACACGCATGGGAAATCACTGAATGTGGGAGGGTGATGTTTACCCTGAGAGATGCTGTCCATCGCCTTAGGCGACTCTGGTTTGCTCCAGGGCAGCACTGCAGCTCCTTCTGAGCTGGGGAAGTCAGGCCCCAGCTGGACCCAGTGGTCCCAGTTTGCAGGCTGGCCCGCCTTTCATAGTATCATAGAATCATTAAGGTTGGAAAAGACCTCTAAGATCATCAAGTCCAACCATCAACCCAACACCACCATGCCTGCTAAACCATGTCCTGAAGTGCCACATCTACATGTTTTTTGAACCCCTCCAGGGATGGGGACTTCACCACCGCCCTGGGCAGCCTGGTCCAATGCCTGACCACTCCTTCAGTAAAGAAATTTTTCCTAATATCCAATCTACACCTCTCCTGACGCAGCTTGAGGCCATTACCTCTCGTCCTATTGCTAGTTAGTTGGGAGAAGAGACCACCACCCGCCTTGCTACAACCTCCTGTCAGGTAGTTGTGGAGAGCAATAAGGTCTCCCTGCTTCTCCAGACAGCAGACAGCATCACTCTTCGGTGATGCTCAGAGTATATGGGTGTTTGCATTGATCTGTACGTTACAAAGCCTGATGACAGCAAGCATCACTGTGAGAATTCATGCCCATATTCACTCTTCTACCCATGGTGAAACCAAGGAGCTTTTAGAGCTGGAAATTCCCACCTGAACTCGCCATGTCTCCCTCCCTCCCCCAAATACACTCCCAATGAGTCTGGCCCCGGCTTCGCAATGGATGGTGAAAATACGCCACTTGTTTTTTTGCAAAGTTCATAAACTGGGGTCAAAGTGGCAGTGACCAACCTGTATCAGCTGGGCTGCGCTCTCCGGACTGCCATGGCGATGGTCGTGCCCGTTGATGGCCAGCACCCGGTCGTTCTCCTGAAGCTGTCCATCCCGGGCAGCCACGCCGCCTTCCAGCAAGTTGAAAACAAAAACCCCCGGTTCGTCGGCCTTGCGGACCAGCTTTATTCCCAGCTGCTCGTCCGGGCTGCTTTTGTTTAGCACAACGTGGAAACTGTCGTCCCTGTTGCAGTGAGCGTCGAGGGACAGCCCGCTGTTCCGGCATCGGTACCGCTGCTCTCGGAGCACCGTCAGCCGGAGCACGTGGCAGGGTTGCTTCAGGATGGACAGGGCGTAGTGGTGAGGCACATTTTTGATGTCCATGCCATTTACCTGGAAGAGAGAAGCGTGAATCGGCGGCGGAAAGACCGTCTGATGGTCTAATGCCACTGGGACAGGGCAGATCTGTCTACACAGATGTCTTCACACGAAGTGACGTGCGCTATCTAAAACCATGTCGCGCAGGAGGCCAAGCTTGGGGTGCAGAACGGTCTTCCCCCCGAGGAAAGGACGTGCTGTACCGGCGCCTTCTGCCTTTTTTTTCACCCCCTTTCTCCCTGATAGTCTCCAGACATAACCATTATTTTTCATCTTTATTATCACTCTTCCCCAAGCTCCAATATCCTTTCATATATCTTAGTTTTATTTCACTAGCTTCTGATTTCACCTCGCCTTGCCAGCCGTTCCTTTCACTCCCACCACTTCCCTGCTGTTTCTCTGCTTCATTATCTCCCAGCTGTTTTAGGTACAGTAAAAAAAAAATGTTCTGCACTAATGAATCTCTAATTAAAATGAAGATAAGAGCCTCAAGTAGAAGTTCAAATACCCTGGGTATTTTCTAGCAATTATGCTGACAGACTGCACCAGAGAATCGGGATTTTTATGTTTCTTTGTGTTTTCCAGGTAAGATTTAGCTCAGATGGCGGTAAAACTGCACGACCATCACTTCTTTAATTTGGCTGGGGAAAAAAAAGAGAAAAAAATGAGCTTCCAGTCAATCCCGTTATGTCCGTGTGTGTAAGAGTGACTCGGCATTGCGCTTTATCACCCTTAAATGAAAACCAGTTGCAAGGCTGCAATTCGTTGCTGGCTGGAAAACCTGAGTCAAGCAAGTTATTTCCATGTAGGTTTCCAATGCACAGGTTGAACCATTTAAATATTAAGAAATGTCTTGAAACTGCAACAGAAATGTTCTCTATCATGGACAAAGGCGTTGGTTTTGCAGACTGCCTGCGTGGGCACGACGGGGCTGTCCCCACTGCGGTCTGACGGGGGGACGGCACCCCTAGAGATGCAGCTCAGCTGAATTTAAGTTGCCAGCTTAGGTACAACGAACAGCACGAGCTGCACCAGCTTGGGGCCGAAAGCACCGGGAATCCTTGCTAAATCCCCGGGGGGGGTCAGACATGAACAGGGAGAGCTGAGCCGGTCCACGCTGCAATCACAGCTTCCCACTGCAGCTCAAATAAGCCTTGGAGGAACAGTTTTGGCTCACCGGTGCTGCTAATTCTGCTGCTCTGTGCTGGCACCAGGATGAAAAGCCTCCCTGAAATGCACGACCGGGTGACACACACAGAAACGCAATCCACAGGCACGGTTAAACAGCGCCAGGGTGAAGTATGCCCACGTCACGATCCTGCGAAATCCCTTTGGCTGCAGTCTGCCAGACATGAAGGAGAAGGCATGCCACGGCCCTGGCACATCTCAGTTATCCTCAGCTGCCACTGGGGTCTGCGAAAACTAGGAAAGCACGGTGGCTTGCAGGTGGTGCTCTGAACTTCAAGGGGCAGCATCCTTGCTAATGACTCACACGGAGTCTTTAGTAGATATCAGTAAGGCTGGGAGAACTACTCACTAACCCTACCATCCAGGCATGCCAGGATGGACATCCAGAGTCCCACCTGGAAGACCATCCCGAGATACGCATGCCCAGGCACGTGGGACATGCCTGCCTTGCAGCCCACCCCACTTCCAGCTCCCATGGCCGTATCCCAGCTAATCCCACACTGGTTAGACCAGCACCAGTCTATCCGTGGCAGCACGGCCCGTGGTGAGCAAAGCAGCTGGCTGAAGTGTTTACCTGTAATTTGGAAAACCTCTGCTGGGCTCTTTGCCATCACTGGCCACAGTGTCACCACTATTTGAGCTAATTGATTGAAGCTGCTTTGGGTATACCTGGGTGAGCTTGCAATGTGAATGTACCCCTGCACTCCAGCTACACAGCGTCAAAGCACTGAAGCGAGGAGAAGAACTAGGGTTTCGGTTATTGCTCTTCTAAGGATTGAAGATCTAATAGAATTCAGCATCTTTGCAGGGCTCCGTGTCGCTGGGGCAGCTAAGAGTGCAGTTCTCATTCAGAAGCTATTGCTGAAGCCACTGCTTGCAAGATACATGATATTTAATCACCTGGCCTAATTCTTGTTCACCTGTTATACATTTTATAGAAACAGGAGCAGAAGTAGCAGCCAATGGTTAAAGCCTGAATGCTGTCCATGTTTGTTCTTGGAGATTTCACCTGGGGCTGCTGGTGGAGCAACACTCCCAGAGCAGAGCGAGCAGCGGCTCACCCTCTGCCGTGCTGAGCACCTCGCATGCAGGACTTCAGCTGGGTGCTGAAATAAATAACCCTGATCCAGCCCCTGTCACCTGTCCTGGTGTAAGTGGGGTGTGAGGCGATGGAAACCTCGCTCAATGAGGTTTAAGCCCACAGTAGGGTAGAAACAAACTGGGCGAAAAGCCCAGCCTCTGCTCTCAGAAAAAAACTTCTGTGCCTCTGGGTCAGAAACGCCAACGCTCTATCGCGCTACGTTGCATTTCAGATCTACCACATTTGGGTAGAAATCAGAGAGGCCCAGTAGTGACTAGGAAAAATAAACAGATCTGTGAAATCATCACAGCATGCGGAGGAACCGAACGTCTTTCCGCACGCATTATTCCACCCACGCCAACAGGCACCGTCGCAAATCTCACCTCGTGATTGACTTACGCGGCTTTACTCTTTGTTGGGATACTTTTATCTCGTACCTCCACAGTACTGTACCTTTAATATCATGTCTCCAGGCAGCAATCTTCCATCTCTGGCGATCACCCCGTCTTGATAAATGTGCTGTATGATGATGTGAACCAGAGGAGTCTCGCTGCCTCCCACGATCCTAATGGCCAGGCTTTCCTGGGGATCTGTACGGTTGATCTTAATGCAGGTAATTTCCCCATCTGGAATCAGGTGATACAGCCTGGGAAAACCTGGGAATGCACATTATCAGGTATTTATTTGACGTCATAGCTTTGCTTTGTTAAAACACACGCCGCACAACTTCAGGTACCTGCCAGTTATCCAAACCAGGCTTCATGCACGGATGTGATTTACACTAAGTGGGGAGGAAGGGATGTGTATGCTTGCTGACTGGACTTGAAGGGATTTTTTTTTTAATTAATATATTCAAACTTCCTTTTTTTTCCCACTAAAAACTGTCCCAAACCTTTGATGTAATCCAGCCAGATGAAATGTACTTATAAAGTTACATGTCCTAACATTTTAAGGGAACAAGATACATTTTTAGTCAGCAGAGACCCCTCTGAACCAGACCACGGTTCCTTGCTGGCTCTTGAGCAGATGGGTATGGACACCTCGACAGACGTCCATCCCTGCCATGGTCTCACTGGTCGCATCCCAGTCTGGCCTGGGCAGCGAATGTCCTGCTCTAGTCCGTTTTTGGTGCCATAGCTGGGGACTGGGCGTTTGGCTTTGGACATCCAAGGAAGGATTTTTTTTACCTTCAGCTACCAGAAAGGCAAGATTTCTTGGGCATCCCAAAGCAAATAGTAGTTGCCCTACCAGAACCCTCTCCTTTCATCACTGCTTGCATTCTAGGAAGCAGAAATAACTGGCTCTGTATTAAAATGAAAGTATGCTCAAGGTGCTTGGAGGGAAAGCTCTCTGCTGGCAATCTGGGCGTGGGGCAGAGGGACTAATGGCGGGCAGGGCTCCTTTTTGTATTTATAATGTGCTGGATAAAAGCATCCTCTTCCAAACCCTACTTTTCAACAGGCACGTTTGCTTTCACAGCACATCACTAATGCTTTCTTTCCTTCTAGTTCAATTCGGAATTTTAATCCTCATTCAACAGTGAGAAAAGTTGAAGTAAAAGCACCAGTGAGTTTCCTCGCACAGGTGTATGACCCTTCAATTATTTTGAATCCCCCACATGTGAGAGACATCTTTTGAATGTTTTGTGTGTGTGTCCAACCCAGCGCATATATGAAAAACCTGTAAGTCAAAAAATTCAGTGCTAATATTTTTTTCAATAACCTATTTTAGAAATGAAAGTACAGTGACTGTTACTGAATAGCCGTAAAATGTTAAAGGAAAATTAACAGATCAGTATCGGAGACAGAATAAGTATTTTCTACTACAGGATTAGCAGGTGACAAACCAGCAAGGCACCAAAACCTTTTGGGAGAGAGCAAGGGGAAAGAAAGAACAGGGAAAAACCATGAAGAAACACCATGTTGCATCCCTTACCACTTCTTTGATCATATGCTCTCCGGGGCGAGAAGCTGTCTTCCTCCATGTCTGTAAAAAGCACCTACCGGTAGCACAGACTCCACTTTGGGGTTTTACAGAGAGTTGACAGGCAATAAAAGTCTATCTAGATAACTATACAGCCTTTATCAACCTAATATCCAAGTATTCACTTAGTTTATACTCTTGTAGTAGCAGTTTCTGCGCTAATATGGGTTTACTTCAGTTTTGCATGCAACTTTAATATCTTGGGAATGGAAGGTTCTTTATTTTCCCCATAATCCTCTATTTTCTGAACATTATTTGCCCAGCTTGCAGCTTGTTTGCTTCTCTCTAGCCTGCAGGTTGTGTTGGCTCCATCTAAATCCAGGGCTCCAAGACAAACGTGGAATTTGGTGATCTGCTTGCTCTGGCTTCCCTTACAGTGCGTGGGCACCCAAAGGGAGCGACACCCGCTCCACCGCTAGATCACCCCTGGAGGTGCTGAGCTCTCTCCTCAGCTGTGTAAGAGGAAAGGGGCAAGGAACTCCGGCATCTCAATGGGGAGCTTGAAGTCCGGCCATACAGATCACCAAGAGCCTGACCCCCACATCAGAATAAGCACACACATTTTACGCTTTCAGTGTGCCTGTGAGGGTATCTATATGTAAAAATGCAAATGATAATCTGGACCCCCAGATCTTCTCTGCACGGAAATAGTGTAAATAAATATCTTCGTATATTTTGCAGACTACCAAAGCAGTCCTGTAGCAGAACTACTCCCATTTCCCATTGGATGATGATTCAGCTCATGTCCTAACAAACGGTGCTTTCTGACTCAAGCACTCGTCCTCCCATACCTCGTGCTGAGATCTTTTTTAAAGGAATTGCCCAGTTACATTTCTTGACCATGGTGAACTGTGGACTGAACAAGCTATTGACACTCCCACGTCATTTCATTCTGTAATTATCGCAGGGCAAAATCAGAGCAAAATGGCAGTGAACAAGTCTCTACACTTACTTAAGACTTACATATATCTTTAAGTAAGGTATAAACTCATATATGTTTCTTTGCATCTTGAACAATGCCTTAACTTGTTTATTGTCTTGCAGTGGCACTTGGTGACTTTCAATACGACGTTAAGCATATTCATTTAGAGGAATTTTTAATACCAAATTTCCTTCTGAAGTGTGCAGTCTACAACAAAAATCTTCCCAAGAAATTTTTCTCGCCAGTCTGCAAGCTACCAAGGTTTCTCTTTTTGTAGTTAGCAGGATGTACTGCCTCACCTCCTGTCTTCATTTTGGTTTCTCTATCGAATATAATTAATAAATCGCACCATTCTCTCCTCAGATGTGCCAAGCAACCAAAATAACTCCATGAGCCCTTAATTTCTGCTCTCTTCATTGAAGACTTGCCTGTTCATTTCATCCTGGACATATGCATGGACATTTGTATTACCAACAACCTAGACCATCACAAGTGAAAGGCCAATGCCTATTTTTGTAAACTAACAGTAATTTTGACAAACTAAATACATAAAATACATGAATACATTTTTTTTCAAATCAGAAAATTAAGGTAACTTATTCACCGAACAGCCCGCATACATGGTGTGCAGTTTGACCAAAACCTACCGCGCCTATTTCAAGATGAGATGTCTGGAAAGCAACGTCTTCAGCTTGAATATTTCTAATGTATGTGCCATACCCAGAAGAGGTGGATCCTGCTCCAGCACCTGGTTGTGTACAGTGACTGGGACCGCGGCAGCCCAGTTTAAGTGACTCCAACTGGGTGGAGGGCTTGTACCGTTCACGTATACACAGCCTGGTGTGAGGCTGCAGTAACCGTTTGCACAGACCCCGTTTCAGAGCCCTTACACTCTAATTTAGCATTCTCCATTCTCTTTGCCCAGGTTTTCCAGAGCAGGAAAACCCAAGAGTATTGCATACCTTTCTTTACCATTTTAAATTTCCAGTCCTTAAATACCGACGAAGTGCTGAATCTAGAAAGAAGTAAACTTTCTGTCTTGTTTTTGGTGATTCTTGCAGGTTTTCCCACAGAGCGTTGTGTTTTTGTCATCGAGGGTTGTGTGGAGCATTCTGAATCTGTCAATATAATAAAATGTCATCTGCATTCAGAAAGATTGCCTGTGCTTTTTCCTCAAGCAACATTTTCCCTATGTTAGTGCGCAACTTTATTGATATTTTCAGACATCCCATTACAGTAACAAATAACTTAGGAGAGACCAGCTTTACTCAGTAAAATCCGCTTGTCTGGTATGATGTGGGACACCGAGCACTTGTTAGTATATTGGCCATGAGGCTGTAACACAAAATTTTAAGTATTCTTAATATTTCAACCCCACTGCTTATAATACTTGATGGTAGTGTTCCTTCAGTGCTGAGGTTTTGGCTGACTTCTGTGTGCATCGTGCTCCTTCCGACAGCACTGCCGTAAGGATAACTTCTGCCTTCATCCCCAGCATCCAGCGTGACAAAGAACCGTGCAGTGTTTGCTGTGACTCTTGAGTCCAGATTAACCAAAGGTCACTGTAAATGAATCTTGAGTCTCGGGTTCCAAGTCCTTATTTAGATCAGAAGGTCTGACTGACGTGAGGTGCCAGCCCACCTCCACAGACAAGGCTATCTGCAGGAATATACACTCCTGCTTACCGGCACCCGGTCACCGGAATTTAAAAGAAGATTGTGTAACGTCGTCTTGGAAAATTCTTGCATCTGTGAATGTCACATGCACTTGAACTAGTGTGGTACCTGGTTCTGCAACTCTTCCTTCCCAACTGATTTTCATTGAACATTTAATTCTCCCAGAGGTTTGGCATCATTTTGATTTAATGCCTTCCATTAACTCTCCAGAGATGCTGGGGGCAGGTAGAAGGCAATGCCAGCTCTAAAGTCTCTTCTTGCTTCGGGACATTCCTTTCACCAGAGGAGTCCCAAAAGAACTAAAATGGAACTGTTGTAGAGTTGAATGTGTCTCAAAAGAGTTGTGGATCTCATTTACAGCAGGCAAAATTTATTGGTCTGCAGTGGAGGAAATGCTGTAGAGCCAATCTTGTTCTCCTGGAAACTGCCTGGCTCACCGTCCTGGAGCAGAGTGCTTTGAACCAGTCCTCTAAGGTTTCCAGTAGCTGGTTTGGGAAACTGGAACTGCAGCTGAGCCAAAACTGAGAGAAACAGGAACCGTGTGGGATTCCTGTGGGATGCAGCCTTCCTGAGACAGGCGCTGGGCTGCCCTGTCTTGTCTTGGGGCTGGAGAAGCCACTTTTCTGCACATGGAGCACCTCCATGTCATGAAACAGTTGATACCTGGAGCCATCCATGTTTCACTTACCTTCTTTTCCTTCATGTACCTTTCCCAAACATTGAAGTATTTATAGTATCTATCTATCTGTTCCGTATCTAGATAAAATATGATGGGCTCAGACCAAACAGGAGACATGAGATACAGCCATACAACAGAAAAGTCTGTTCTGTTGTCCTGCCAGTGCCTGCCAGGGCTGCCTTGGTCTTGACTGCTGCAAAGCAATAACAGATGGTAGAACTGCGCCCACCATGAGACTCAGAAGAATGAGTGACTTTGAACAACATTTGACATCCTCAAGCAATTATAAATTCAATTTCTTTCGCAATGGCTTGACTGCAAAGTGGAACTGATGAACGTTTTTGAAAACCCGAAGCATGGCTCCCTTTTACTATAAAACTGTGCAGAGGTTTTTGAATTGCATTCCCAAATTCTTTCCTCCTAAATCGTGAGCTGGTTTACAACCTGTATTTGTAGATCAGTTTGAGCAAAGAGTAGATATATATATATATACACATAGTCTTTCTTGAAGTGAATTTGAAGAGCGTGATGCCAAACTAAGAGCACAGTGATGCAAATAAGCACAGCAAAGCTGGAGCAGTCTTTGCTCGGAGGTATTTTATCATTTAAGTAGATTGTCAAGGTCATTTACACTAGTAGATCCAGTCAGAAGACATTACATCTTAAATGCATCAGAGCTGGGAGGATGTCCCTGTCACCTTCCCTCATGTCTCAGAATGAAACCATCTCTTTTAAATTTTCCTAACTTCTACTTCAGACCTGGAAAGCTATTTGTAGCTGTCAGTGCTATTAAGGAGATTACGCTCAGGTAGATACCACAAGCTTGGGTGCTGCACTATAGACAAATACTTCTTTACATGGGTTATTTACAAATGACCAAATTGTTAAAAATGAGAAAATCTTAATGCTTCCTTCCCCCAAGCATTTTCTCGTCAGTGTCTGCACTTTTCATTCACTTCTAACAGTTTCTTTGGTTTGGACAATGAACATTTCTCTGCTGAAAACGTCACCAAGATGTTTAAACAGAGGAACGAAGAAAGCCTGAATCATTTAAACCCAAAATGGGTGCGTATGACATTGTTTAGACAAATCAAACCACAGGTTGCAAACCAAAATCAAGGAGTAATCTTCACAGTGCAGGACTGCTACCAGCTCCAGGCATAAGACAGCATTAGACTGCAACTATTTCTCTGCTGTAATTATAATAGAAATACATTTGCCATTATACATCATATTTTTCAGTGTCCCTGAGTAGCAATGGCATTTTCCAAAACCGGTACTGCATTCAGTTTCAAATTAAGCAGAATCAAGGTTATCTGAGTATTTTTTCCCCCGCATCAGGAATTATTATTTTTTCTTGTACTCTTGCAGTCACACTGCAGCTGGGGGCTGGCCCAACAGATGTATCAGCTTCAGATTAAAGGCACCTACACACTCTGCGGAGGACAAATAGTTAATTTGACATTGGTGCTACCGATGCTGAGGGCAAATACATAGCTATGTGCTATGGTTTTCGTTCTCAGAGATCTTTTGACCAAAATACAGGCAAAATGCAGATTAAACATAGACATCTGAACTACGATGAGGGAAATCTGAAAACTGGGAACAGATGGACTATAACTCGTTGAGTTTTGCCAAATGATCCGACAGCTTCGTTATCAACTGGAGGTTATTGGCACAAGCAGGGGTTATTTCACTCTGTGCCCACGGTGGGGCTGGCACAGCCTTGGCTTTGTTCCGGAAGCCTGGAGAGGACAGAAACCAGCGGAGAGGTGGTGGGCTGCCCTCTGAGATCCTGGAGCAATGAAGCTTGGCTGAGGTGGGTGCTCAGGGGGCCCCAGGCATGACCCCGTGAAACGTGGGGCAAGGCAGCAGCAGCTTCCACACCGGGTGCAGGGACCTCCAAGGCCAGGAGCATCTCCATTCCCAGGAGAGCGGAGTGGCAATGGGGAGACAGACACGTGGGGCTGCCTTTTCCGAGTGGGTTTGGGCAAGCATACTGCAGCTATCCCTAAAGATCAGCCAGCAGCTCTAGCCAGGAGACCAACTGCAGTCTGCTCGGAGCAGCTAAGCATTTAAAAAAATAAATAAAAGAAGAAAACATACAGAACTGGAGAAGAAAACAAGCCTCCAGCTGGCAGGATGAAGATAATTGCTACAGAAAGAGGTTTATTCATTTGCTCTGCCAACAAGAAGAAACAGAGAGAGTCTTTGAGATGCCATTACACAAAGCACCGGTTGCAAAGGGCTGAGTAGAGCTCCCTGCTGATGTTGTATCTCTTCTGCTGCAAGCTACTCGCGTGCGTTTTTTTGAAAGACCAAATTCCTGACCTGTGTAATCAAGATGCATTCTTTGCATGTGTAATTAGTACAGTAATTTAGGTACCCATCACTGTGATCTCATGCCTAAGCATAACTGCTCATTAAGTACTTACATGGCTATCTGGTTTTTCCAGTGCAGTAGAATACATTTGGAAGTTTACAAGCAGGCATGAAACCGCACGCAGAGTAAAGGACAGAATGACAACCTTGGCACTGTGAATAGGACCCTGAAGCAGCAATCACTTCAGGGCCCCATCATATGTCCCTTAAAATGGAGACAACATAGCTTTCCATTCTGCTGGAAACGTGAAGGCCAGTGCCACCTTCACACTCCCTTCTCTTACCATCCAGACTGTGCTGGGCTGCTGGGCAGGTGCTGTTGGCATCCATAGCATCCTCACACACTCTGGACATGAAACCACGCTTTGAGTGGAACAATTAGTGATGTCAACTGTAAGCCTAGGTAGAAAGCGGTCACAAAAATGTCCACTTCCCATCCGGGAGAGGTGTCTTTTGAAAAGACATGGAGAATTTCACTCCAGCTGAAGAAGGGCAAGCTTTTGCTTACAAGGGATTGAACAGTTGCTAGGGAAGGAGAAACATTTCTGTCTGCTCAAAGAGGGCTGTAGACTAATTATTTGCAAAATTTTGCTTTGGGGGGGGGGAATATTTGGGACAGTAAAGTTATTGAAGATCTTTCCAGGCCAAGGAGCATGTTCACATTATTTTTGTGGAAAAGTTTCACAATTATGAATTATTAGGTTTTATTCTGTCTACCTCAGCAAGTACCTGGACTAAGAGAGTAAGTACCAAGAACGCAGTAATGCAGTGAAACTCTCCTGAAGGAATAAGCAAATAAAGCAGAAGAGACATTAAACACTCTTCTCTGATTCGCCGCTTCAAGAATAACGATGCCTAAACACAGCATTTGGCAGCCTTTTGTCCTTCCTTTGTGTGGCTTCAGCACGCAGAGTAAAGGACAGAATGACAACCTTGGCACTGTGAATAGGACCCTGAAGCAGCAATCACTTCAGGGCCCCATCATATGTCCCTTAAAATGGAGACAACATAGCTTTCCATTCTGCTGGAAACGTGAAGGCCAGTGCCACCTTCACACTCCCTTCTCTTACCATCCAGACTGTGCTGGGCTGCTGGGCAGGTGCTGTTGGCATCCATAGCATCCTCACACACTCTGGACATGAAACCACGCTTTGAGTGGAACAATTAGTGATGTCAACTGTAAGCCTAGGTAGAAAGCGGTCACAAAAATGTCCACTTCCCATCCGGGAGAGGTGTCTTTTGAAAAGACATGGAGAATTTCACTCCAGCTGAAGAAGGGCAAGCTTTTGCTTACAAGGGATTGAACAGTTGCTAGGGAAGGAGAAACATTTCTGTCTGCTCAAAGAGGGCTGTAGACTAATTATTTGCAAAATTTTGCTTTGGGGGGGGGGAATATTTGGGACAGTAAAGTTATTGAAGATCTTTCCAGGCCAAGGAGCATGTTCACATTATTTTTGTGGAAAAGTTTCACAATTATGAATTATTAGGTTTTATTCTGTCTACCTCAGCAAGTACCTGGACTAAGAGAGTAAGTACCAAGAACGCAGTAATGCAGTGAAACTCTCCTGAAGGAATAAGCAAATAAAGCAGAAGAGACATTAAACACTCTTCTCTGATTCGCCGCTTCAAGAATAACGATGCCTAAACACAGCATTTGGCAGCCTTTTGTCCTTCCTTTGTGTGGCTTCAATGATAGCTTGAAATACAGAGCACTGGGAAGTTGGATATTTTGTCTTCTTAAAGCCCTCACCCTGGGCATCTGATCTGGGAAGAGACATGAGGTGCTGAGGCATCAAGCAAAGGAATCACAAGCTCGGTGAAGACTTTGATTAAGACAATGAGTCCCACTCCATCATCACTTCCTTTTGATGCATGAATGATAATATTGGCTTCATAATTACAGTCCAGAGCAATTAGTAACATTTGCTTATTGCTTTGAGACTGCCAAATGTGAAGCGTTGGTGCCTGCCAGACCCCTCATCCTTGACGTACGTCAGACCAACCTGCCTCTCCCCGCTGTTTAAGAGCACGGCGTTCTTACCTCAGCACCTGCCTGGCTGAGGTAATACAGGTCTGTCACCAAGGATCCCACAGAAATGCTGGAATAATTACAGCACTTGGCTCTTTCCACTCCATCCTCCCACTGGGAATTTTGAGTGCTTCATAAACATGACCCAAAACTCACGAATTTCCTACAACGTGTGATCGCTGTGATCCATTTGCTTTACGGGGACAGACACAGGCTGGTGAGGCCTCTTCAGCAACATGATGGAGCGAATCGATGACAGCTCCAGTAACAGATCCCAGACGCCCAGATCCCACATCCCACGTGCTAGATACTGGGCTGGCTGCAGCACACAGGCTGTTACCAGAACAGCCCTACATCAGGTCCTATACACCCCAGTAATATTCTTGCCTGCCAGCCACTAATAACATTTTAAAGAAAATAAGGAAAGACTGGGTTTTCTGGCTTTTTTAATCATGCACAGCCCACCACGTGAAAGGCGTGTCAGCCACGGACGTTGAGTTCCCACACGGATAGGATCTCCTGCCCCATTTGAAGTGATAAGACCAGGAGAACAAAGCATTACCTTCCTCTCCAGCAGCAGGGTTTCCAACAGCCTCCCTTTGCCGGTCAGCCTGGTTGGAAACCACACTTCCACTTTTTGTCCTTCGAAGAACACTGAACGCCTTGTTGATTTTTTTAAAAGATCTGCTTCTTATAGTGGAGCGTTCAAAGTGTCGAGCTGCAACAGCAGGAAAAAAACAAATCAATACAGCTCAGCAGTTCTGGGCTACAACCACATCATTTCTGCAGCCGTCGGCGTGTGGTGGGGCAGGACAGCAATGAGAAGGCTGCCTGTACTTCACCTTCACAACCGGCTCCAGCTGCTACTCCAAGGCTGCTCCCACCTAAATCTGGGTACAATTATCCTTCCTCTGTCCCACACCCTGGAATTGCCACCTCCCCTGTCTCTTTTGCCAGCCACGTAAGTAAATCTCCTGTGAGCATGGTAGCCTGGGAGAGAATAATCCTCAATTGAGGCAGAATTAGCAGGAATCCCATCAAAAATGCATATAAAAGAATGAAGCACTGCCCTTCCCAAGCTATGTAAGTTTTTGACCAAAAAAATAGCTGGAATCTGCTGTTAAAATCTCTTCCTGCAAAAAACCCGGCACCACTGCCTCAAAGCCCCACAACGCTTCCAAAGCCACCAACAACAGCTAACAGTTTCCGTGTCAAAAATTCAAAGATTATCAGGTGTGAGGGACCAAGTGACATCTTCGAACTTGAGTAAGGCAATAAAAAAAGAATAAAATCACAGTAATTTCAAAACATGTCACTTTTTTTTCCATCCTGCTGCAGTGGCTGGTAATCCTCCAAATGAAGCTCTGCCTGCCAGCCAAACATTGTAATCAAATAATACAGCATTCCCTCAAACCAGACTGTGGCCTCTAAACTCAATAAAAGTGGCGGGATTTAATTTCATTCTGGTGTTCTCTTCATGCCCGCTCCCTTTCCTCGCCTCTCTAGCCCCCTGCACACAAAAGGATGGAGCCAGTCTTCAGCCCTTCATCCATCTTCCCAACAGGCAGCTGGTGCAACACAAGGTGAGATCTTCACTTTGGCTTCAGGGTCCTCAAATACAAGCTTTGAACTCAGCGTTAATAATTCCAAGCCCTGCCTTTGGCCATGCTATGTTTTTCAAATACGACACTCATCAGAGCAGGGTGAAGTGTCATAGGGTGAAGGATGAAAGCAAGGTTTCGTGGCGCGACTTTTCCCTAACTCTGGTAATTTTTGCAGGACCAGCTCCTCTGAGCTGCACCTCCCTGGGCACTTCTTAAGGTTTGTTTTCCTGCAAACCCTTGGCAACTGCCATACACAGTTCCCAGCAGGCTTTTGGATAAGTGCCCTTCGCATGGTCTATGGGGGTTACTTGGGCCACCAGGTTTTGGTGAAGCCATTACACAGCTACACCATCTCCCTGGCACATCACACATGCCATTTGCTGTTCCAGGTGAGCTGGCTTGCCTAAATGATCTTTTTTAAGATCTGCAGTTTCCATGTGTGCAGCTAGTCCATCTTCAGCTTGCTGCTGCCCCTGGCCAAACAAATTTGATTTTCAGCTCACATCTATTGGGTCACTGAGTGCACAATTTGACAAGCCATGTAAAATTAAACCTTTCGCTCTCCCTTTTTTTTTTTTTTTTTGTTTAAGCTTCCAACAATATATGTTTCACAGAAAGCAAATGCTGCAAGAGGCCACCAGGCTCTGAAACAACCACTTTTGGTTCTTACTTCTGTTTCGGTTGCTGCGATGCAGGTCTCCGGGGCTGCTGCCCGACTGGCTGTCCTCCGAGGTGGGGCTGAAGGCTGGGTTCACCAGCCCTGGCTCATCTGTCATTAAGGCGATGGCCGCAGCTGCTGAGAGCTCGGGGCCCAGGGCAGCTACTGCCAAGCTGGAGCCATGGTCTGGAGAGCAGTCTTGGGAACGCCTCTTCCGTTCCTTGGTAAGGCCATAGTGGGATGCTCCTTTACATCTAAGGAGAAGGGAGAGAAAGGGGGGACATGATAAAAAGTTGTATTTAAATGTTGCATACTGATGGAAATTATCTGGTGCCGAGGAATCACTCGGAGTACAAAACGTGATGATCACTGTGGCCGACGAAATATGGATGCTTAACAAGAGGGAAGAACGCCAGCCCCATCATGTTACCCAGAACCAGAAAGAAGGAGAACTGTCCTTCAAAGTAGCTGAGTTATCACCTTATATGGAAAGACTGCTGCTGGTCAGGAAAAAAGAGAGGTGTAGCCTTGTGTGTAGTCTCATGTCTATAGATAGTTACTCTGGGTGCAAAAGGACAGGAATAGCAGGTGGCTAATTAAGCCAGAGGCTCAGTGTGTAATTTCCCCCTCTCCTGGCCAATGAAGGAGAGCAGGGCAAGGCCTGACAACTTCTCCAGGTCTGCTGGTGAAATAAAAGGCGCCTTGCCCAGCCCTGCGCCGGGAGCACAGTGCTGTGGTCCTTCACGTGGGAGGCAGGGTCTGCCCGTCATATAGAGGCCAATGCCGTCAGCGAAGGGAGGGCTGCAGGGGGGTCCCGCGCCTGGGATCTGCAGGAACCAAGTCCCCACGCTGCACCCATACAGACCATTTACTGCTTGAACTGCACCCGATGAATTGCTTTCAAATTCAGCTGCGGGGACGAAGTTTCCAGCTCTGCTATTCCAGCTCAGTTGAGACACTAACGTAGAAGAGCTGTTGCCTTGACACAGGAAGAGGTGCAAGAGGTGGTGGGGGGTCCCATCTGGCCCCTCAGCCCCACTTGAGCCGAGGAGGAAGCACAGGGCTCCCACCAAATGACCGAGTGCAGGTCCTCAGACCTCAGACCAAGGTCCTTGCGCCAACCTGGGACTTCACCGGTTTGGGGAGATCAAGGCTGGTTCTAAACTAATTCTGGAGGAAATTCTTCCTCTAGAAGAGCTGAATATACAGCATTGTAAGAGACAAATTACAAGTCTGCTTTGAAACAACTTACTTGTGGTCCTGCCTATCTGCTCTAGATTCATCCTAGACAGCAAAGGCAAGACCATGCGTGGCATTTCTGTCTTCAGACTTGTTTAAGAAAGTCACTTGAATGAAATTAAAGGTCGCTGTACTCTTCATGAGTCAGTATTTAATTAAAGCCATAAAATAACTGAAGAGACGGAGTGGTCCAGGGACCTGTGACTTTTCTGCAGCACCACCTCTGCCCAGTGCCGACCCATTAGAAGCTCTTTCACTGCATTAAAAAAAAAAAAAAATCTGCCTTTTAATCATGATCTAATGAGCTTGGCCTACTTTCAGTTACTATTGTCTCTTTCTTCATAGTGAAGTCAACTGATGACTTTCACAGAAGTGCCCTGTAGGAGGAACTCGCAGAAATAGCTGCAGAAACCCTTAGGGATAGACAGCTCTTCGTAATATATGGCGTGCACAAAAGGCAATGCATAATACATACTGTACACAATGCTAGTGGGCTAAGTGTCAGAAAAAGAAGTAGTACACAGAGCAGAGGCCTTGGAAGAGGAATGGTTTACGGAAGCAGTTCCTGGGACAGAAAGATGAGATGAGGACAAGTCACAGAGCTTTCTATATCAGCTTCGGAACAACAGTTTAATTTCTCTTATGGCATTGGCTTTTTATGAGAGACAATTGAATTACAAACTTTTTTTAGCACTAAATTATGGTTTACCATCATTTACCTCATACCTCTTCTGACAACTTTCATCTTCAAGAGAGGAAAAAACCCAACAACCTGAACTGTATCATGTTGATGCAACTGTGCAAGGGCTTTGTACATGCTGTAAGGTTTGGATGGGAACAGCTGTGGCAGAAGTTATTTCTAAAACCTTTCAGTAGCAAAATGAGGTGTCTTAAAAGAAAATACTTTTATGGAAGAAAAGGTTGGTCGGCTATTTCAAAAGACCAACAAAAAGCTATTTGGGGCAGCTATTCCATGACAAGACCACAACAATAATCACTTCAAACGTAAGGGATGAGCTCTCCTGCCTCCACTGCAGCAGGCGTTTTCCTATTCCTTCCCCAAAAGAGGTGAGACTTCCTCACCCCCTCAGCATCCCACACCAAGGCAGGATGCTCTCCTTTATATTTGCTAGGGAGCAGAACCACAAAGGCCTTCCCCTCTTGCAGCCCACCTAAACTTCTCCAACATAGCATTTTGGGAACGCATCCTTGACCTCTCCCACTGGCCGTAAGGTCACATTGACTAATCGATCCTATGGATGCTCAACAGAATAGTTAAAAAATAGTCTAAAAAGCCAACACGATGAAATGAACACAAAGAAATGGCTTCAGGGTGATTTGTTTGCTGTTCTCAAAAGACTATCTCAGCCTTACAGAGATCCTGCAAAGATTCAGTGTGTGATAAGAGATATTCCTACTTCACATTTTATTTTATTTACCTCTGTTTTCACCATGCCAGTAAAGATTCAGTAGATGATATTAGAACATCAGCCTTGTGAACAGGTCCTCGGATGCAGATCTTTTTTTTATTTTTGGTGGGCTACATGAAGGTCAGAAGTGGCTCTGCCCGAAGTTTCCCAGCTACATGGATTTAACTGCTGCTGGTGCCCATCTACTCTTCCCTGCTAAAGCCTTCCCTTTCTGTGGAGTCCTCACTCGCTGCTGCTGGCTGTGCTGCAGACGCCCAGTGAACAGCATCAGTCCAACAGCAATGAACAGAGGACAGTTGCTTTCAATGCAGACAGGGCTGGAGCAGTTTAAGATGTGGCTTATTGGAGAAGACAAGTTGTCATGTTACAAAGCACAAGGCATAGCTTTCTAACTCTGCCAGAAATAGTTAAAAGAGAACCAAAGCTCTTCAAGCATGAGCACTGAAGATATTTCTTAAGTAATTATGGCAGGCAGAAATGAACACAAATCAAGTCCTCTTTCTTCAGATTAACAGAGTGTCCTTGAAGAAGAAAAAAAAAGTCCCAAGCCCTCAAACTCGTAATAAAATCTGCAACAACATAACTTCACTTTCATTGTTTTCCTTGTGCTGACACTGCTGTGATAACAGAAAACAGCAGAGATGACTGTCTAATTGGAATCATATTTATAGTGTCTCAGCTACATTCTTCTGTATGGTTGGATTTGGCTCCCAAAAAAGAGAGATTCATAAAACAGTTACATCCCAGTAGTAATTATCTCTCTCACTGTGATTATTAATCAGCTGCCTGATTTACAGCTGGAAGAGCAGGATACCTGATTAACTTAGGCCAGGCAGAAAGTGGACCCAACGCTGTCTGGTGGCCAAGGTGAACTACAGATTTATGTTCCTTCTCAGCCGCGCCGGACAGCGAGTACATCCGTGCTCCAGGCTTCCGGAGCAGCGCATCCCAAGGGCTGGAGCCGGGAGATCCAAAACCCCTTACTTGGTCCTACCGCTTGTAAAAACAAGCTTCGGTCAAACTCAAGGCCAACAGAAACATTTCCATATCATTTGCAAAGTCAAATGAGAATGGTGGTTTGATAGCAGATGCGTTTTCCTTGCAGCGTCCCCGACTCGCACAGCGAAGAAGGGCCTGAGAGTGGGGATGACCTCGAGGATTTTCATTCCCCGGGCTGACACAGGGGCAAAACATGAAGGCAAAACATAAACAAGGACAGCTGAGTGGATTTTTTTTACTTCTAGTGATCTAAATGAAATAATATCACAGGCAAAAAATGTATGTATATATTTACAATGCATTTGCTCTTTTAAAAATGCCCTGCTTTCTATCTGTGCTCTCCCAACCTCCCATCCAGCGCGCTCACGTCTCGGTGCTGCTTGGCTTTCGTGCAGCAGCAGCGGACGCATTGTCTGAGTGCAATTAAGAGTAATGTGTACAAGGCACTCAGGATTGCCCAGCAGAAGAAAATACTGCATAATGGGCTGTCATCACTGATCCGAAGCTAAACCCTGAGTAGGGTAGACAAGTATGTTTCAGCTGTGCCCTGGCTGCAAGCAGTCTCACCCCTGTGCAATGTGGGCTTGACACACGCCGAGATCAGAAGTATCAGTGAGGTGTGACCAGAAGTCACACCTCGACCCTGTCACACGAGCTCTTCTAACTTAAAGAAACCGAAGGTGACAAACAAGGAGCATCCTGGATGAGCTGGTGCTGGTCACCTCGCTTGTGAGACCCTGGTGAGAGGCTCCTGCCCTGTCTAGGAAGGAAGAGGGGAGGGATGAATTGGAGAGGTTGACTCACAAGAAGGTGGTGGCAACTCCTGCCCCATGGGAACCATTCGCACCGTGTGTGCATCAGCAGTGACCCAAACACGACCCAAATACCAACCACACAGATTTCAGGCCAAACACCTAAACTCCAAAGCTTTCTGAAACTCCATCATAAGGGGGTGAACTGACTTGGGCAGTTCTCAGGCAGAGATTACACCAAGTCTTCTGATCTTTTGCCAACCGTGCAGCAGGAACTGGAACCAAGAACGAAAAAGGAGCGAGGCACCTGAACTCCAACCAAATCCCATGTTACAGATCTAAGCCAAAATGCAGCAAACGCACAATCTCCCTTCCAGACCGACAACACCGGTGCTAAACAGGCCACAGACATCATTACCTTCAGCAGTGAACGTGACCAACACCCTGCTACTCTTTACACCCAATGATGTTTTACCATCCTTGCTCAGAAATCTGGCTTCTGTGAATCCTGGTCCTGTGTGCCAAATTCCTCTTTTTTGCTATATATGAAAATTAATCCTGGAACTAAGCGCTTAACAGCAATGCTTTTTCTTTGGTAATTCCAAGTTCTTGCAAGGATTAACCACTGCACGAATGCTGCATGTGAAAAAAGCTTCATAAATAAGTACCTGATTTATTTTTTTTCATATGCATTTGCCTCTTCTTCTTATTATAAAGGATTGTGTCATGTCAAGAGAATTCCTCAAGCTACAGTAAATACCAGCTATGGCTAGGAAGGTCCTGCCTATGTTGAACCTTAGTCAATATTCATAAGGAAGGGGATGAGCCCTCTAA